GTGTGTGTGTGTGTGTGTGTGTGTCCTCTTAAGCAAACAGATCAGAGGAGGGAGCCAACATGCTGAAATGGAAACAGAACAATAACCCCTCCGCCCCCCCTACAGTGTACCCCTGAAGCACGTGGTAGCCAGCCATGAACCGAGGTGCACAGCGGGGAGAAGGAAACATTTCTTGGGGACGCAGCTAGGGGACAGCAGCTTGTATCTGGACTGAGGGGACACACACACACACAGACACACACACACACATCCCGGAGAGCTTGGAGCTTTGATCGCGCGCTGCAGGGACCCAGCCAGGTACAGTAACACACTTTATCGCTGCTTCTCGTGCACTCTTGGTGCTTTGGAGAGGAAGATGATGATGGGGAGGAGGAAGGGAGGATCAGCTCACCAAAGTCAAGAAGGCACGTGTTTGTTGGTGAAAAGTGGTGGGAAAGTGTTTTGAACTGGTCCCAGGAGGGTTTGTCTTTGCACAGGCGACTTTGTTTGCGTGGGGAGGTGTGTTTGCATATTAAATCAATGAGTGGGCAGCGAGAATTCTCACCAAGTGGAGCTGGAGCATCGTGGAGTGGGTGGGGGGTGGGGGGGTCAGTGGCGCTGGTGGGCTTCAGCTGGAGAGAGAAGCACGTTTAGAATGACCCGCTTTTTGTTCCGATTTTAAATTAATTTAATAGAATTGAGGGGAAAAAATGAAACTTATTTATTTGCCTTTAAAGCAAAAGGTCTCGCTGGGTCTATACTAGTAGTGCAGTTTCAAGTCTGCCTGCAGCCGAGCCGTGCCGTGCCGTGCCGTGCCGTGCCGTGCGGAGCAGGGGCGGGATCTGGAGCGCAGACAGATGATGATGATGATGATGATGATGATGATGATGATGATGATGATGATGATGATGATGATGATGATGATGCTTGCTGGCTCTGAAGACAATCGTGGCTGCTGAATGAAGAGGAGGTGCAGCGGAAAAGCGCTGTCCGAGGTGCTGCTGGAGACAAGCTCCAGTCACGCACAAGCGCGCGCGCGCACACACACATACACGCACATCTCGCCGCTCCAGCCGCAGACGACACGCATGAACTGAATGCACCTCTCTCCCCGCCCGCCGGCCTGAGTAAATGGGACCGCACGTCGTCCGAGCTTTGGAGACATGGAGAGATCGTTCCTGCTCGTCCTCGGCTGCCTCGGCGTCTCTCGCGTCACGGCGGGTAAGTTTTGAGCGAATCTGCCCCGAGCTGATCGCTTCCTGCCCCGCTGAGCCGGATCCCCATCGGCATGTGGGGTTGATGGGGGGGTTTGTGTTTGTGTTTTCACCCATCGCTCGAGAGGAGGCTGAGTCTATTGTGTGTTTGCAGGACAGAGGCAGCTAATGAAAGAAATGTGGAGGGCTGCATGAAACTGGAGATGATTGTGGAGGCTGCACTGACCTGTGACACTAATGAGCCAAACTGACCTTCTGAATCTCTTTAAACYCACTGTCATTCTGTCAGGAAATACTTCACTGCTGATATTTTTTTTATTATTCCAAGCGGGGTTTAAAAAAAATACTCATTAAAAACTGCTGGGTTAAAAAAAAAAAACAATATATCATAAATGTTTTGGGCCATATTTGGGCCAAACGAGCCCTGAGGTGCTTTAACTTGAGTTTGATTGGTTAAAATTGTGTTCAAATGACTAATTTATTGAATTAAAGCCACTGAAAATTAGAATTTAAATGAACAACTCTTTTTTTGATTATTTAGTAAAATCAGAATTGCATGATGTTACATTTTCTGATACACTGATATGATATTCTGAAATGARGGTCTGCACTCAACGTAAACAAAACACTATTGCTAGAATCAACTGACTACATTGGGCTGGCAGTGGTTTGCATGGGTTATACAAAATATGATGAAACATTTAAAACTTCTGCCAGACCAACGAGTTTTGACCCATTTTCAGTCGCTTTGCTTCTTTTTGTAGATAAACGCGGTAATTAGTAACCAAATGTTTGCTTCAAGAAAACATTAAGATGARGGAAAGTGTTAACATTAAAGTTTAATATGATTTGTTTCATTTTCTGGCGCCATGTCTTCACGACTTGGCTCTGAATGCCTGTTAATGAACCGCCTCTGGCCACTGGAAATAAATGACCATGAGTCTGCTGAGGAGTGACAGCAGCCCTGTCTCACAGTCACAGCACCACTGATGCAGGCTGAGTGCTGTACACCCCCCCCCCACCCCCACCCCAACATGTTCCCAGCTACATTCATAAAGCACGCCTCTAAGAGCCCAAACTACATGCTGGACCGCTCCAGGAGATGAAGTGCCACTCTTCCCTCCTGTCATCATTCCTGCACCTTTGCTCAGCCTCAGCATCCTCCCACTCTCCAGCAGATGATGGATGGTCAGGCTGCTGCTCTCGCACTCTGTTGACACTAATCATTTAATTGCTCACTCTTTGTCTTGTGTGTRGTTTTTTTTCTCTTGCTGTCAATAGAACAAATGCGTGTTGATGCTTTATTTTGTCATGTGGCTTTTTTTTAACCCTTCAGTTACTTGTTGATATTTTTTGCATGTGTTTGATTTTTATTATTTTGAATGTACAAAAGATAATAGTTGAAGCCTTATGTTTTATTATAGGTCTAGTGTTATTTGAAGAAATGCATATCACCTACCAATTTTGTATGGAGTTTTTATCATATCCATGTGTTGTGGAGGATCAAACTSTATCTCATTATCTGTCAAATTAGCTGAGCTATAGCCATTTTTTTGTGTTTAAGGTCAGCTGTGTCCACCATCTTTAATCAGGCTGACTCCAAAAGTTAGTTCATAACAGATTTACATCCAATGATAACTTTCAGCTAGCCTCATTAAAACCTTTTCAGTGGTTTTTGAGATATTTTGGTAACAGACAAACAAGAATTAGTATTTCAGCGACCATCCATAATGTTTGCATTTTATTCGCTGTATTGAAGAAATTTAGTTATTGGTAGATTAGTAATGATATTAGAAAACTACACCAGAGTATGGGGTTTCATTATTTTATAATACTTGTATAATGTTTGATCTATTATGTGTTAATTGAAATAGAGTAGATACATGTGCGAATTATAAACAACACATAAGTGAACCGTTTTAAAACATTAGGGTGAGGTTTTTGTCTGAATGCCCGTGATTCAGCCGTGGGTCAGCAGGGGGCGAACTCAGGCATTGAAGATTCTGTATATAATGGATTCATTTCCTGGTTATAGCCAGTGTGGTTTTCCTTGTCAGCTCGGTGACAGATTAAATCTCACTCACGTTCCAGAATTCTGGGGTTGTATGGTTTACTCCTTCCTCAATTCATTTTATTTAACACTGGTGTTTTAATATTGACCTCAGCCGTACTGAACACTAAATTTCTTCCAGTTTCATAAAGCCTTGATTTGTTGGATCTGYAAACACTCCATGCAGATGTAATTCCTGCTCTGAAATTTAGGTTTACAATCTGCTTGTTTATATTTTTCTTTGTTGGCATGATTATTAAAATAAATAAATATCTGGTTGAATTCTCATGAGAGGTTTAGTGATAAAGAAGGAAGTCAGTAAATTCAGGTGTGCATTTCCATGTTCTGTAAAGCTGAAACAGTATGTTTAATACACTAAGCCTTACTTTCCTAGACATAGCAGACACAAATAAAGAACTGGAGACATTGTGGTGCCTTAAATCTATATGCCACACATAAATACTGAGTTGTGAGGTTATGGAGTGGAGTTAAAGCTTGCTACTTTTTATTCCCTTCAGAGAATAAAGAGGTTTAGTTGTCGTGTCTGTAAATTTTGTGTGTTTTTACACTGAGGTGCTGTGATCCCCTGGGTGCTGCGGGGCTTTCGGACAGAGTTTTGCTTTAGTTCATCTCATACCTGTAAAATTATTTCACCAGAGAAGCAGAGGATTTGAATGCCACATCATTTCCTTAAAAACATTGTTGATAGATAATGGTTTGATTTTGACATCCTGACTTCACATTTGAACACTTTTCACTTAAATTGTATTTTTCTCTTTATAATAATTTTTCTCTTAACTTTAAAGCAACTTGRTGTCATTTTTGGTTGAATCGCGCATCTTGTCGGTTTGTGTTGTTCCATCATCGTGTAGTGTTTTTTATATTTAGTCAACTCCTTGCAATCTATAGCAAAGACAAGAATAATTTAAATTTAGAAGTCAGGAGAAAAAACGGTTGAAAAGAGCCAAATTTCTTTTCATTAAAAACAAAACCAAGGACACCGCAGAAGCGAAAGGAWCCAAACTTAACAAAACTGGAGCAACTCTGGACTAATAGAAGAGACACAAAACACAAATAACAGTAATCTGGCCAACAGCAACAAAAAAACAGGGATTATAAATAAACCGAGATAGTAAATAGGCCAGATGTGGCAAATGATAAATGAGAAGCAGGTGTGAGGGGAGAGCGGTGAGCAAAACTGATCAGGAAAAAGTACAGAATAAAGTACAGGATAAATGAAACAAAAACTACAAGAAGAATAAAACAAATAAAAATCAATATGATCTCATCAAAAATCCACACAGAGGCTCAAAAAGACAGAATGATCAGATGCACAACAAACATAAAAGGAATCRATAAACCACGACTGAAACCTGAAGCGGATGTTAGGCTGCACAGATAATTTCATAATGATTGCAGCTTTCAGAGCACATCATATAAACACAATACTTTATGTATCTGGTAACAAATAAGACGCGTTCACCTTTTTTTCTGTTTAAAGCATAAAAGCATGTTTAGTGCATCAGCGATTCAGAGTGGGGTTCTCTATTTCTTTATTTCTTTTCATTACTTTACAGCATTTATTAAAATCCCTTTGTGAAATGTGCCCAGACTAAAATGTTTAAAAACTAAATGGACACCTAAGTGCTGCACCGCTGGTACTTTCAGGAACCAGAATGATAATTCTGACCAAATCAGGCACTGTCCTTTTAGATCCCTCGTTTATCCAGATTTGAGTTTCCGTCTCACTTTTTTTTTCTTTTTCTTTTTTTTTCCGGTATCTGCACCAATAAAAACAGGCCGAAACCATGCGACGGGGAGGATATGCGTAATGGCACCATAAATTACCACCACGGTGACGTCTTTAATGCGTGAACATTTATAGTGACTCATTAACAGCAGGTTGATCTAAGAAGCCAAGAACGGGAGGATAATGTGTCTTTTTAAAATGTAAATAAGCTCCGTAAACATGTGCATCCAAATGAGGCCACGAATGCTCGCAGGTATTATTACCTGAGCTCTTTTAATTCATTGGAAACAAAGATAAAGAAAAAAACAAACAAACCAATCAATAAGCTGAACATGAATGTTTGAGGCTGCTCCTTGTTTCATAAACAATAATAAAGCAGAAAAATGTGGGCTATTCTGTAGACTAGTTTCTTTTCCTTTTTTTTTTTTCCTTATTTGGTACCAGAGCTCACATTTTGTGCTGCAACCCAAATAAATGCAGGAAAACTTTGGCAGCCACCTGCCAGGTGATGTATTCTCCGAGAGAGCAGTATATTATGTGTCAAACACTAAGCCATCTGCAGAGAAGTTACAGGCTGCAGCTCAGTTTGAAAACCATCTTCCATTTCTCAAAGCAAATGATCATGAACCCGACATGTTGCCCCCCTTTTTTTTCCTTATGAATGCTGAATGCTTATGAGCAGATGCCCAAACTGTTTATCACAAGGAGCATTTCCTCTACAACATTACAATTAATTGTTTACATTATTCACGTCAAGAATAAAAAGAAAGACAACATCTGAGCTCGGATGTTCCCGTTTCCACCCAGCACGTCCAAATATAATAAGTGATTGATAATGAACAAAAAAAAAAAAGTCCATCGTCTGTGTCCGAGGAGTCGTAATCTTCAGTCACGATTCTGACACAGCAGCTGAGTGCTTTTTGGAGCATTTATACTGTTCTGAATGACGACGGCCTGGTTCTTTTCTAATCTGTGTTCTTTAAACCTGCTGGGTATCTGGGGCACACGCTTGACTACCCGKATCATCTTTGTTTCCTCTAAGCTTTACTTTATTTTTCACCCTGGGTTTGTTCAGTGCTAGCTGTTCTCAAGTCCATCCATTTCTTCACCCGCTTTTTTCTGTCGCGGTGGTGCCTCTGGCAGTCAAATACATTCATCACATACTCCGAACACGGACCGGGCTCATGAGATCCGGCACATCACAAGG